TTCTATTCATTATTTAAATAATATTAATAATAATAATAATGATTTCAAAATAAATTAATTTGTTGTATTAGGCGTTTCTTTTTCAAAATAACTAATATTTTTAGTCGTATTTGATTTTTATAAATGAATAATTGCTAATTAGTTAAATAAACGTTCTAAGTAAATAAAATTAATATAAATCTTAATTATTATTTGAATAAATGATAATTTACAGAATTAACATTATTTAAACTATACATGTCTTTAATAAAAAAATAAACTAAAAATAAGAAAAAGTTATTAAAAAATGAAATGTCCACACTGTTAAAAATTTTTGTTCCAAATTTTATACAAAAATGTTTGAAGCAATTATCATATACAATTTTGAAAAACTACAACACACATTTTTAAATTTAATACAAATTTTCTTATTAAATTTTAAAACACATTTCTTTAAAATTTTCAAATTATTCTTTGGAAAATTAATACAAAGTGTTTGAATGAAATTTCAAATAGTTTTGTTTGAAACTTCAAACAGTTTTGTTTGAAATTTCAAACAAATCTGTTTGAAATACCAAAACGATTTAAATATTTAAATGAAAAATCTAAACTGTTTATATTGTGTTTTGATATGTTACAATAAATGTAAATTAATTAAAAAAAAAGTTTTATTGGCATTTTTACGGAAATTCGACACTACGATTTGAACCCTTAGTCGTATATAGTGTTGTCTGTGTATAGTGTGTCTTGTATGGAGCCATCAACCTTGGGAGCTGCGCCTAGACGCGCTCGACCAAGGGAGGCTATGAAAATCTCTTGCAAAGTATCAGTAGTAAGAAACATGTGGACCATTCCCTTTTTTTGACTTCTTCTAAATTTCTAAAGATTCAATATCTTTAAAATTCTTCACCAACCGATTCTTGTATTCTTTACTTTTTTTCTTTTCACGTTTCTGTTAAATTTATGATATGTATTAAGATGTTTAAGAAATATTTAAACAATACTTTATGAACAGCAGATTTTTTATGGAAAAATATTTTTCTATTTAATTTATCAGTTTTTAAATTTTAATCTGTACAATATAACTATATTAATTAATTATATTATATCATCCAAAAAACTGTTTTCCTCTTAACAAGTTTTGTCAAATTTAACTAATTAAACTGATTAAAAAAAATTTTAGTTATTTCAACATTTGAAAATGTATTTACTTATAAATAATGTTTTAAACTAATTTAGAGAATTATTAAACACATATGTTTTAAGCAATTTCGTATAAAAACTCAAAAAAATTTTAATTAAGTACTTTTTAATGAAAAAGTTGTAAATTTACTTACAATATTTTAAAACATATGTGTATTGAATTATTTTACACATAAGTTTTTCAAACACTTTTTTATGAAAAGGTTGTAAATTTACATATTTTTCAAACTTATGTATTTGAAGTTAATCCATACAAAAATTTTTGAAAATTTCAAACACTTTTGTTTGAAAATATTGTAAATTTACAAATCTTTCAAACATATGTATTTGAAGTTAATCCATACAAAAATTTTTGAAAATTTCAAACACTTTTGTTTGAAAATATTGTAAATTTACAAATCTTTCAAACATATGTATTTGAAGTTAATCCATACAAAAATTTTTGAAAATTTCAAACACTTCTGTTTGAAAATATTGTAAATTTACAAATCTTTCAAACACGCGTTTTTGAAATTATTTCATATACAAAATTTGTAAATTTTCAATCACTTTTTGTATTAAAGTGTTGTAAATTTACAATCTTTTTTAACAGTGCACATAACTTGTCACAAGTTTTGGAAAAGTTGAGAATTATTTTACGAAGCTTGGAAATATTTCTTCCACAACGTTTAGTATACTTCTCAAATGATATTCATGTTTCGTGTGTTTTTGACACATTTCTCTGAAATTCGTTTGACTTCAAAACTGTTCAATTTCATAAAAATGTGATTTATCAGTTTTATTAAAAAGTGATTTATCAATTTTATTACATACATTTTGTCAAATCAATTTTATTTTTAAAAAGAAGATAATTTTTTTGTCAATCAATCATATTAAAAATTCTTGGCAATTTTTGTTGCAAAATTTCATTAATTATTTTGTTTTTTAATTTTTTAAATATAATTTTTTGTTATTGTTTGATAATAATGAACTTTTTAATTTTTTAATTATTTATTGTTAATTTTTGATTACTTATATTTATTTATGAACATTTTATTTAGATTAATGAAATTATATATTAACATTATTAAATTAAATATTAACATTTTAACATAATTAACAGTGAATTAGAATATTTCGAAGGTTTATATTTTTTTAATAAAAAAACTGAAGAATTTGTTATTTTAATCATAGTAATGATTGATAAAAAATGTTGAGTTTTGAAGTCAGACACTCTCTGTTCACTAATGTCGCTTTCGAGAGATTAGCTTCCGGTAAAGAAAAACAATGGGATGAAAAGAGTTCATTGTTCTCATAGGTATACTATAAGTTTTAAATAAAAAAGAAAAAAAATTTTCGGATTCTCGTAATGTTCCGGAAGATAGGAAAGCAAGTTTAACTCTGACAGTTTGTTTCATGACCCTATATGTGTAGTTTCAACTTGTACGTACCAGTTACAGTCTCAAAACTTCATCTGCGTTTTCTTTTGTTTTCGCCTAATAGGACACAAACACAAATCTTTTCCCTTTGCACACGAGAATCGTCAAAAATTCCTCTCACTCTTATTTTTGACTTTTATTTTAGATTTTTTAAATCGACGACACCACACGAGATATTTCTCGTCTTCCATTATTTTCTTTTCACTTGTTAGATTTAATTTTATTGTACCGATTTTGCATTTTTTATCGAAGAAATGAATTTAATTACAGAAAAATTAAATGTGAGGAAAAAGAAGTTGTAAGTTTTATAGAATTAAAAAGATGAGTGTATTTTTTCTGAGATTTGACAGTAATGAACTGAGAAAAAGAAGCAGGAGACGAACGTGACGGCACATGACGTGAGAGGGGAACCTCGTGTGTCCCTGCGACGGATGCCGGGAACACACGCTGCCTGTGGCACGCTTTGTCGCGTCACCTTTTCGCTTTTTGACCACGCGCATTCACCACCGCACCGAGAGTAGTGGGAATGTGCCTTCAAAATGACACACTTTAGGAAAAATGAAAGAACCCTCCACCCTCTCTTCTCTCCCCATGTTGCAAAGTCATTCTCTCACTCTTTCTTTTTGAATCTCTTTTTTTATTTTTTTCTTTTTTTCTTTTTGACTCCCTCCCTCTAAGTTACTGCGTGTTGGGACTTTAACCCATTTCAAGAAGGAAACAAATTTCTACAATTTTTATCCACTTGCAAAATATGCGGAGACAAAATAAGTAGGCCATATGTCTATGGACACCAGGAATGGTGAAGATGAGAAGGAGAATAAAAAAAAAGTTGGCCATTTTTTTTCTCATCCTCTCTCCCTTTACAGTATTGCACGTAAATATCATGTAATTTTAACAAAAAAAAGGGAAAAAAGTTTCTGAATTAGAAATATAAATTTTGTGCGTCCGGAATTTTTCCATTTTTCAAAGAAGAGGCGAAAATAAAATTTATGAAATTCTCGTTTCGTGAATTCGTATTTAAGGAATACAAAAGTGGTGTAATTTATTGTTGCGGAAATTTATGACTTGTTACAAATTTTACTGATAGATTTTCTTGGTTTTGTCAAAAAAAAAATTGGTTTCTTGGAGAAAGTTTTAGTCTTTAGAGACGTTGGGTTACGATTTTGAAATTGATTTTTAATTCGCAGCTGAATTAAATCCTTCATAGTGGATTTACCATTTACCATATCTTGGCGGTTTTTTTTTATTATCCTTATTGTTTGGTAAATATTTCCCCCCCTCTATTTGAAATAAACTCGTGTCTTATTTTTCTATAATTCACATCTCTGGTTGTTTACTCTTCTCGTTTGTTTCATTCTTTTTTTCTTATTCCTTTTTTCCAGAATTGTTCCGCAGGTATTTTAGTTCATTTTTCCAAGAGATGCATTTCCTTATGAAATTTATTCATAAAGCAGTGAAAACTCAAAGACGTGAATTCCAAAGTTAGAGAGAAAGAGATCAAATAAAATCTTTTCCTCGGGAGACACAGGTGATACGGAAGAAGCAGATATTCTCTCATATGATTTCTGCTTGTTTTCTTTTTTTTCTTCTTATATTTCTAACATTTTTCCACTTATATACATATATATATATATATATTGTATAAGAGTTTACCAGCTCCGTTTATCTTTGTGTTTTGGTGTCAGGTTGAATTATACTTTCATTTTTTTCTTCGACAATATTTCTTGTAATTTTTCTTTTTCACGAGAGTAAAAATGGCAATTGATTTTTTTCTTCACTTAATATAGAAAAACTGATTCCTGTTTTTCTATATGCTATCTGTCTTGTTCGAGTTGTGATTTTTTTTTATGAAATCCGTTTTTCTAACACAAAGGAATATCGCGAATGCGTGTTGTAAATAGGAGAGAAAAAATATTGTTTATAGGAAAATTTGCAGTAACTCTGGAAAAGTTTTTGAATAATATTCTAAATTAAAATAGTATAAAGAATAAAGAATAAAAACAAATTTATAATATAGTAGAAAATACACAGATATAATAAAACATAAATTCTGTTTGATTGAAAATTTAATATTTTAAATAAAATTGTACAAAATATCCAAAATGTAAAAATTGTATGATTGAAAACATTTTTTTAGGAAAGATAAAAGTTATTAAAGTGCTAATGGATTAAAAAAAGCCGCTTTTTCTACATCGGAACTTTTTTTTTGAATCGTTCTTTATTTTAATCATACGATCCAATGCGTTTCTATTAAAATCTATACTTTCTATAGAAATTATTTTGTTTCTATAATAAAAATTTGTAATAAATTCATAGAGAATTTCATAACAAATTTTTATACGAAAAAATGTTTTTCGATTTTTTCTTCCAAGATTTTTGGGAAATGATAATAGTACTTACCGAAGTGTTTTCTGGTCCATGTCAAGACTGTGAAACCTCACGCTCGGTGGTGAAAAACGCGCGACATTCTTTTCCGTGGATCTTTTACTGTGTTTTAATCGGCTGTCAGAAGACGTTGTCAATAATGGCCGATGTAGTAAGGCCGGACTATCAGCTGCTGATGACGTCTCTGACGTCATTATCAAGGCCGTCGAGTGACGATAGCTTTATTAAAGAAAAAAAATCAGGGGCTTTTGTAAATTAATTTTCTAAAATTCTTAGTTTCGAAAAGAATTTAAAATTTAAATTTTGTCAAAAAAATGATATTTTATAACTCACGTCTTGTTTGTCAGCTAGCCGACCTGTTACAATTCCGATTGAACATGTCGCAGGTGGGATTAGGACAGTTTTCCAAAAATGCACATCATCTGTAAAAGAAATACAATATTTCTTTGTTGTTAAATTCTTAATTTTTAATACAGAAAAAAATGTATTCAATTACATATATGAACTTTTCAAAGAGAATTTTATTTTTCGAGAAAATCCTATAATTTATGGTTAAGCTGTTTTAGTTATATATTCGGATTCGATTCGTTAATTATTGTCACAGTCTAATTATTTCCAATCGTTCTGTAAGTCTATAATTTAGATAATTATAACTCGATTCTAATTTCAATTAACTCGGAGCATCATCGTAAACTGTGATTATGGTTGGATCTTTAAATCTAATTAATAGAATAACATGTGATAGCAGAATAAATTAATGGCAAGTGTAACGTTTGGTTAGTTACAAACTATGGTTGTTACACACTCCTTGGTACTTGGAAATTTTGTTTATTTTATTTATAGTACGAACTTTTGGTAGTTAAAATTCTTGGTGGTTAAAACTCTCGAGTCTCGACAGTTGAAAATACTGGTATCTACCTTTTGGTATTTGTTCATTTGGTATAATTTTGTTTTACTTATTTTAAAATAATTGTTGATATCTGCAGAAAAACTTTGTTCATCCAAATGATACAGAAGTGGCAATTGACATTATTGCATCGCATTTGTATTTGGGAAATTAAAGAATCAGCAAATAGAATAGTTGAGGTGTCTGTTGAGAGAGTAATAATGCGTATGATATGGTTCGTTAGACAGCGATAACTAGCAACAAGTTCACTGGCAAAAAATCAACCTAGTTATGAACGTGTGCCAAATTTTTTTTCGATGTCGCAAAAGTAGTGTATGTATATATATTGTGCCTGCAGAAATTGTCGACCTTAATTTACAAGACATTCAATCATTTTACGAGATAGATGAACTTTTTTTTCCTTTTTTCAATAATATTTTTTAGAGGAAAATACTGTAATGCAGCAATTTGTCTACTTCGTTGTTAATAGAGATGAAGAATAGGTCGGCAGGTATCTTTTACCTTTTTTAAGGAATAGAATAGAGAATATTAGAATATATTATCTATTATATTATATTATATTATTATATTATTATTATATTATATATTATTATTATTATTATATTATTATTATTATATTATTATTATATTATTATATTATATTATATTATTATATATTATATTATATACATTATATTATTATTATATTATTAATTAGAATATATTATCTGTCTTTTTCATTGAGGGGAAAAATGTTTAGACTTGCGCCGAAAATGATGGGGCGTTTCATGTTCTTATAAAAAATACACACGCAGACATGTAAAAGTGCACAAGAACAGGAAATCATTGTGGTATGTCGTTCGTCATGCTGTCTTTTTCTAGAGGTCACAAAAACGATAACCTCATATGTATTCCGAGCGAAAGAAACGGAAGGGTGAAACATTGCCCATGGTCATTGCATTCTCATCAAAAATCCTTTTCTTTTCTTATTCAATTGCCCGTGTTGCCTGTCACATAATTTTTCTCGGATTCATTATAATTTTTGACTAAATTTTTCAGAATTAAAGAAACGAACTATTGAACTGGAATAATTCTGGAGTATGTTGATAACAAATAATCATTGTTTCAAACAATGGTTATGACAATCATTCGTTATAAACAAGGCTTGCAACAATTAATCCTTACAAACAGTGTTTTAAATAAATATTGTTGAAAACAACTCCCAAGCATCTAAACTTGCAGCAATATTGTCAATATTGTTTGCAAATTTCACAATATTGAGGCAATGTTGCTGCAAGTTTAGATGCTGTGGGGGACTATCACAAAAAAAAACATTTAATGGTTGTTAGAACTAATAGCTGCGACAATTAATTACCATATGGTCGTGAGAATTAATTTCTACAAATACCAGCAGTAACAATTGGTGGTTATTACAGGTAAAAATGATAATATTAATGTTTGTTTCGAGTAGTGTTTGGTATAGTGATTGTATGAATTAATGGTTAATAATAGTTACAAATAATTGTTGTCACAGTTAGTAATAGCAATATTTATAGTTTTGGTAGTAGTTACAATTAGTGGTTATAAGAGTAGTATCAATTAATGACTGTTACAAATAGTAGTCATAACAAATGATTGTTACAAAAAGTGGTAGTAAAAAGAACGGTTGTTTGTAAGTATGTAGTAAGAAATTTGAAATTCTTAAAGTGAAGAATTTTTGGCAAATACAGAATCCTGTTGTATCGACTTCTGAGTCACATTTGATTTCTCATGATCTGTGGAGTTTCCATTCTTCCATTATCTTCTATTTGCTTAACTTTCTTTCTCTTTCTCCTGTTACCGTGAGCCGACTGTCGATAAAGTAGCTTTATGACTGCATTCTCCTTGGAGAAATTCTAATATACCAACCATTTATTACCAGAAACCATTAAATAGAAAACTGCATCCCCCGATGCAGTTTATTTAAAAAAGTTTTAAAGCCCCATTAAATAAATCACCTCTTTTTTCCTTGTTTATTATAAAATTCATATTCTCGTTCGATATTACTCCAATTTTACCTTCTTACCCTCAATGCTATTTGGGGATATTTTCCCAAACGAGGAATAATAAAAATAAAAGAAAAAATTTGAAACTAGGAAATGTTTAGTTTCCTTTCTCGGAGAGTAGAAAGAATGCTTATCTTGATTGTTCTTTTTTTGTATTCTACATAACGATTTAAAGCGATGATCGCGCACATGAATTGAGAGTATTTTACGATTTGTCCCGAATGAGCGTTGGGAAAATACAAAGTGCGATAATGTTCCAATTTTCACGTTGAAATTATTCGAACGTCCTTTTGTTCAACGATTTATGACTGGTGATCATAATTAAAAGTGCTCACAATCTCATGAAGCGCGATATTTTCTGATGACAGAGCAACGAAAGAGGTTTTTAACGATTAGTCTGCGAGCACTCGTGTGATAGACGAAAAAACGAACTCTTAAATTTTAACAACCGCTTCCGTTGATCCTTGGCTCTCATTTTGATACGATAACTTTTTTTTTCTTTTATCTTGATTTTAATCATTTATAGTTGGGTAAATAATGTTAATAAAATATTTTCGTTTTATTCAGCTTTTTAAAATCCTTAAATCCTAGAGAAGAGAATAAAATATATGATTTTGCGAGTCAAAAAAAGGGCAGTTTTTTAAAAAGTGGGATTTCTTTTATTATTAATGGGCTTTTTTGAAATTAAATTCCACTTGGAGTTAAGAATCAGAAAGTGGAATTTTATCATTGCTAGAATTTTTCGTAAAATTTAAATTACCCGTATCTTCTCATACCAACTGTTTTTTTCTACCTAGAGCTATATTTCAAATCTTCTAACCAAGTTGAGTTTTCCACTTAGGAATGTTTGCAGGGGAGCCACTGTAAAATACGGAAATTGCCCAAATGCCACGGAAATTAGGGAAAAGTGGATTTTCTTATAATTTAAGTAGCATTTTTTAAAATTAATTAAGTGTAATTAAAAGTAAAATTTTTAGTTAGCATCAAAACAACAAATGTTTAATGCACTTTTAAAATTGTTTTCTGTAAAAATATTTTGTATTCACAAAACTCGTTTTGTATCTACAAAAAATATTTGACAGTATATTTTACATTTATTTCGAATATCCGATTTTACGATATTTGGTTTTTTAGCAAAAAAGTAGGAAAGTTTCAGAAAATGGAGGAAATAAAATTCGGAAAATTAAAAATTTAAAAGATACTTTCCAAGCATTTGTTTCGTAAATATTGATATATTCTTTTTTTTTGTATAAAAACGATTCACAGCGTACAATAAACATTGATACAACATACATGCAATAAACCTCAAGTACACTGCACTCGAATAACACGTAAAAGTTGGAGAACTGTTTACGCTGCACATTTACTATATACGTATATGTAGACTATAATCCTCTAGAGATCACTTTACCCATATTTTTTATTTATTCATTCATTTTTCTTTTTTTTTTGTTCTGGTACTGGCAAACAGACATAATGAGTGGTAAATGATTAAAAAGCAGGGGGAAAAATGCTAATAAATTGCTCTCTTGCCATTTTGTTTGCATTTTCGTATTTTCTCGAGCCAAAATAAACCATTTTCTTCTGGCTGATCGAGAACAACCGTTTCTACTTAAAATTAGAACATCTTTTGACAATTCGTAACTTAAATATAGCTTGTCTAAAGTATACAGAGGAAATTTTAGACTAGAGAGGATAGTAACTTGTCTAACTGGGAATTTTTTAAATTTATTTTATTTGATTTGTTTATTATTATCTAAAATTACAGCTTTTATTTGTAATTTTTTCTATTTCTGACAAGAATGAATTTTTTAATATTATATAATTATTTCAAAAGTTTTAATGCAATTATCTTGTTGATATACCTATTATTATGCCTATTAAATATTTATTTAAACAAGAAGTTATTGATGTTTTTGAATAATTTTACAATTAAATAAATTTTTCAATAAATGTATTAGAACATTTTTCTCAGTATCTAATAATTTTTAGAGTGAATCAGAATATTCTTTAGGGGGAGGTAAAAGTCGCAGGGAAAAACAAAGTTAAATTTTTGTTTTACAAAACCATAATTAATTATTGTCATTAACTTAAAAATTTGAAAAAACGATTTTCCCCTGTTAAGAAAGAAGAACAAGAACAAGAACAAGAACAAGAACAAAAAATAAAATCTGAGATCGATAAAATGTTATTTTAAATCCAGATTATCCATTCGAGTGTTTTTCCTATAAAGTAGCTAGCAGTTAGTTTTTCCGCCCAAGTCTCGCTCAATAATCCTTTCGTTTACTGTCAAATTTTTTTTCACCTCTTTTTTTGAATTTAGTATAAACAAACACGACCTATATTGCGGGCTCGTTTTTTCACGATGCAAGGCGTCTTTATGGACATGTTAGAGGTTTGTGTTTGACCTGTCGGGGTCACGTTGGATTCCCGCAAGTTGAACTGCCATTACCGCAAACTTGGTGTGTATGTACCATACATACAGAGTGTC